GCGTCAACAGCAGTGAGTCCAGACTCTTCTCAGAAGAGGAGGACAAGAGGGGGCAGACAGGTTGCAACACAGTAACAATTAGTTCTAAGAAATGCCCTTTTTTTGGAGGAGGTGGGGAGGTAGTCAAATGCTGGAACATGCTGAGAGAGGTTAGGGAATCTTCATCCTTGGGGACAGTCAGAACTTCACTGGACACAGCCCTGACCACCCTGTTTTAACTGAACCTGCTTTGAGGAGGACACTGGACTAGGTGACCTCTGCAAGTCCCTTCTAGCCTGTGTGATTCTACTATAGTGTTACTATACACTACACTTCCAAAAGAGTTAACAAGGCAACATGGTAATTATTTACATAATTACACAGTAATTGTCATAAGATATGTGCCAATTACTTTGCCACGTAGCATTTTTCCTGTGACTACTAAGCTTTTTCTAGATTAGAGGGGTTTAAAGATACTTGTTACCCTGTTTTTTATTTAAAAGAAAAAAAAAGGGGGGGGGGCAAAAAAATACCCATTACTAAAACAAACTGAACTTACACACTGCATTGTCCATGGAGAAGTAAACATGATTAAATCCTAAACGCAGCCTGTGAAACTCAGTCAAGAACTATTGGCTGATCATCTCCACCTGCCTGAAGCTTAAGCTTCTTTGCTTTTAAGTTAGACCCACAGTTAGGCCGTTTATGTTCCTGTGACTTCTTCACCACTGAATCTTGGACAGTCTTTGAAACAGTCTGAGCATTTTCTCTGCTTCCTTTTGAATTCGAAGATTGAGATGGTTTGGCCTGTAAGTGATAAACAAACATGTTCAAATTCTAGCACTGTTTTCCTTCCTTTTCAGCATTCCCACACAAGAGAGAAGATATTTATGAGGTCTATTTTAAATCCAGTTGATTGTATTACTATGAAAAATATATTGAGCAGATACTAAATTATTAAAATAAACTATAATGGAAAGATACCTCTATAGCAAGTCAGTACAGATGTAAATACGTATATACAAATACCTTGTAAACACTTTTCTTTTTTGTTATCCCTTCTATAGTTATGACATGTCCCTCATTTTTCAGCAGACCTGCCTTTGGTCCTATCTTCAGGTAGGATATTGTCGCGAATGCTGTGAAGCTGAAGTCTTCCCTGCATAAATTAAACCAGTGTTATGAGGGAAGTTTGGAGACAAAGACAGGCTAGACCATGCAGAGGGAAAATGGGATGCATTAACCCTTCTGAGCGGTGTTCCAAATAGCAGCTTGGCTTTGCTTTATCTTTTCAAGTGGACAGCCAGTTAATTTAGAGTGACTCTAGTCAACACTTAACATCATACAGTCTGTGGACCTTTACACACACACGGACACACGCACATGTCAATATGTTGGAATACACGGAGGAAAATGAGGGGAAAAAAGATGTGAGTCTGCATTAGCCAGTCTGTTCTGACTTAAGACTTCCTCTGGGCAGCCCCATTTACCCTGCTTAGCCATGGAATGTAAATGACACTCCACATAAACAGCAGACTTCTCCAAAATGAAGCCTGCTGCAGATTAAAGGTTCAACCTGAATACAGAAGACCCCAGTTTTTTAAAATTGCAAGATACGCAGCATTTCAAATGTCCCTCCAACTTCTGTTTTGACATCCTGCAGCTGAAATACAGTAATCTTTTGAGGTTTTCTAAACACATTAAATGCATCTGAAATAAAGGCTAAAAATGAGACTACAGAACGAATCCAGTAATACTATGTAACACCAGAGCCATGAAAAATGACTAGCAGATATTAAAAAAATAAAATAGAAAAAGGAAGTAGTCATCTTACATACTTCAGATATTGCTGCAGCAGTAAATGGGCAATAATTCTCTCCAGCTCCTCTCGAGGGTACTTGGGTGGAGTAACTTCAGGCACCCTCAGTTTTGCTACACCTTTCCCAGACCATGCATCGATTAACTTCAGTGGGGTGAGCTTCTCGCTCATGTGTTCGGCCTGCTCAAGTATCTTGACTAGATCCCTGCAGTATCCTGTTATATCCATTTTCTCACATGCTACAAATAAAAGTGAAGTAATATTTAAACAGCAAGTTATTTAGACAGTATCCATATATACATTAGGTCTATACATATATATGCACTTTTATATATTCATAGATGTATACGTCTATCTATAAATATATATCTTTGTGCCACATAATAGTAATGCTTTTTTGTTTTCAAACTATAACTTAACAAATAAAGCTATAAGTGTCCCTTTGTCAAATTAGGATTTGTTTGTACCCAAACTTGTATTTATCTTTCTACTTCATCATTAAAACTCCAATCCTGCAAATGTTTTTATATGGATTTAACACTACACACAAATAACCTCAAAGAAGCATTTACAAAGCATAAAGTTTCTAAGGTAGCTTCTATGTTACTCTGCAGCTGGATAGGAATCAATTCTTCACCCATAATGTTTATTATGAAATATTAAAGAGCAAAATGGAATTGAAGACTCTGAGACATTTCTTCTCTCAAGACAGTTATGGATGAAATGAGACAGAAAAAAGAAAAAAGAAAGTATTCATTTCATAGAAATAAGCTTCATTATGAATAATTATTCTGAGCTCTAACGTATCCATGTAGTACATAATGATCATGCTTCTACTGCATGAGCTGATCATGGCACAGAATTATCCAACTGCCTCCTCCAATACTACGAATTAAGTACTGAAAACCCAGTACTACTGCTAGGTTTCCTCAGAGCTTGCTTAGATATCCAAAGACCCTGGGGTAAACCAGCAGTTAATAGGAACATATTTCAACTATGTTTCGCCACATGGCTCCTGTAAGTCTTGGGTACAAGCCAGCTGCACACTCTTCTCAGCCTCTGATCCCAGTATAAAGTTTAACTAAGCCCTATTTCCAACTAGAACACAAGACATCGTTGCTTGCATGAATTTGCAAAACAGGTTTATTATATAGATATAGTTAAATGTATAAAGAAAAAAGTTAAAAGTCTTTGTTTACCTTGTCCCCCAAAAAGCGTACAGGGAAAAAAGTCTAGTTGTGAGAACAGCTTTGAATACAGTCGTTCCTAAGTTTTTCAAGTGTTGATCTCTAGACTATCCAAATGCTTCACAACAGGTATGTGGCATGAGGAGATGGTATTTTCTACATATGACAAGAATTCACGTGGTCCTTAAAGAAATTTAAGGTGGTTTTGTGTGTCCAGTTAGAGATGCCCAAGATCAACTTTTCCTCAGCACTCCTTTCAGAGCTTTCTAGATTTAGATGGGGTTTCCTATGTCTAAACCACAGCTCACACTTCGGAAGTGCAGCAAGAGATACTTTGTGCATCTTCAGAAACTTACGGCTTTCTGCATGGGTACCAAAAATGACAGTTAAAGCAGGCAGTGACCAACCATGAAAGTGTAGTTTAAGACAGCTACCCAACACCGCTCAGGATGGCTATGGGCAAAGTAGCAAAAGAACTTATGTCCCAGAACAGCAATCTACTGAAACCATCCTCCTTTACCATGCAGTGAGTCTTGCTTCAGTTCATCTTCCCAATTTCCTCTGTGTCTGGCCCACATACCTTCCATCTGATTATCCTAACTTTCTTTCAAAGGAAGAGTGCACACTAGACAGACAGTGAGCAGTTAAGACTAACACACAGCCAAATCTTGAATTAGCATGCTCAGCTGTCCTGCACAGGTATGTCTCATGAGCATGCAGCACTGCAATGCTCAGAGGCTTTCCCAGGCAAGTTGTAGGAGGACATGTGCAAACTGTGCCTTCTCACAGCCTAAGTGTGAACAGTTTGGCATGCAGAGAGCAAGAGGCTCCCTCTCAAAATAAAGCTTTCACACTCAAACAAATGCTGAAACAAACCCCAGCACATACCAGAATCGTTTTAAAACAGGCCTAAGTCAAACTGCCCCTTGCCCCAGCTTCACTTCTGGAAACAGGTGAATTGCTGAGCCTGAAAGATACCAAAGTGTTTGGCCTCAAGCAAAAAGCAGGAAGTATCCTGCTAAACACGCTAAACTCAGCAATACTAAGCCACCAAAGCCTGATGTTCATAACAAAATTTGCACCTTGGAAACAGGCAGTATTACAAGCACACTTCACAGAAGTTGCTCACAGTTCCTCTAATGTAGGTATTTCTTTAAGCTAACCCCTTCTCCGTGTTCTCCATCCTTTGGTTATGAAAACAATTTACTTACGGCTCTCCCTACAGCAGTTATCACACATTCTGTTGCACTTTGCAGAATCCCATACTTCATCAAAATGATGGGCTATGAGGACCCGGCGACATCTGAAAGAGCAGAGAGCAAAGGACTATAGAACATAAGTGTATACGCCTGCGTTATAAATCATGAAAGTGGCAAAAAGAAGGTCTCTTAGGTCAGCTCATATCTTAAAACAAACATGAGGAATTATCTCAGGAAAAATCAAAAAACAAATACTGCAACACAGTATTCCCTACTGTGCTAGTAGGAATAACCAGTAGCTTTCAGTAACAGTGAACACCACCGTGGAACAGATTGGTTAAAGCAGAAAAGTAATCTGCAATTTCTATAGAACGAAAAAATTATAAGAATATAAACTAATTCTTAGTCTGAGGCCAACAAAGGCTATACTGAATGCACAAGTTGCCCAAAACATAGATACAAGTGTTTCCCATGAAGTATTCCAAATAGCTCAGCGCAGCAGATGAAGCACTAAACACACGTGATTCCTGTATGGCCACTGAACACTGGTACCTTAGAGTAAAACCCAAAGCATTGCAGTTTTCATTCTGAATGGGATTTGAAATCAAAACAGTGTTTGTCAACAGATATTTCACTTCAACATAACTGCTTCCAGAACTTTATGTGAAGCTGGCAAGCAACACACCAACAGTCAGTTATGTGCAACAGTACATGTACTGAGCAGCCAAACCACAAACTCCAAACTCAAGACTCTGTTACAGTAGTAGTGCTTCTGAGGAGGGAGCGAGGGAGGAAGGAGTACTTTTGATTTATTGTTGGGTTTTACTTATTTTGTTTGTTTGGTTTTAATTGTTTGTTTGTTTTCAAATGCCCTCTATAAAACCCCACTAATTGGCCTATTTACAAATTAAGCAACCAAACCACAACAGTAACTTACTTCTTCATATTCTGGCAGTAGGCCACCATGTTATAGAGCTTCTCTTGCCCTACATTTTCCATCACTACCATTGAGCTGATTCTGAATATATCCCCAAAACCATAATACAAAATGCAGTCAGCTTTTTGGTCATCTCTACCTGCAATGCATTAAAAAGAATTACAAGTAATAATTAGAAGAGGTTTATTTTAAACACAGCTTTTTTCGGTACAAATACCACTGTTATCTGCATGGGTTTCTGCAGCCCCTATTATAGAGAGAACATGACTGTAATAAGAGTATCAAGCATAACATACTAGCCAACAGAACACAGCATGATACAGACTAGAAATAAAAGTCTTCTACAAATAAAGAATCAAGCAAACTAAAAATACTACACAATAGAGATTTTTACTCTTTAACAAGCAAAATAAAATATTAGCATCATACATAAAGTCAGGGAAATCGCTATTTTCTCACCCTAACACCTCTTGGAAAATCCTAGCCAAATATATGTTGAAGCCTAATTCTTACTTGATTAAAACACAGTGTGAGCTTCAAATACCTTATAAGGTATTAATGGTAATAAATGAAGAAAGAATTAGGTATGATAGTCCATTTAAAACCACCTGTGCCTTCTATAGCTGAATTTAGATCATCTCTTCCTTCATGCTGCCTACTTCTCCCAGCAATGTGCTGATGGGTGCTGACCTGCTGTTTACAAGATCCAAAAAGCAGAAAAGGCCTAAAAAACCCTAAACTTTCTTAAAAGTTAAACTTTTAAAAGAACTACTTCACACGGATGAGCAGTCAAGGAGAAAAAAGAAGGTTTCATGAGCTAAGTAGTATGCTCATGCAAATGAGCAGCAGTGCTTAATTAATCCCTCCTCACAAGAATCTCATTTAAATAGTTATGAAAAAGAAACACAAAAGCTTGCTTTAATCCCAGATTGATAAACATTGTGAAACAACAGGTTCAGCACCTATACAGCCCTTATCTCACTGCTTCAATGTTTATACTTCCTATTACCTCCAGCACTACCTAGAAGTAACCAGGCTATAGCATAAGCAGATGCAGACTCCCACAGACTTTGATGACCGCTGTACTTCTTAGGCCAGCATTAAGGCCAGTTTCTATCACACAGCCATAGTTAAAATTTCCACTGATTGCCCCTCAAGATCTTTAAAAAGCTTTTCTACATGTCCATTCAATTTGTCTTTGAAAAAGTACTAATGAACAAGGCCGAAAAAAACAAAGCACCATAAAACTGGTTTTAGCCATAACAGCTATTTAGTGCTGCTGTACACTGATCAATCCTTTAAATTCCCTGCTCCAGACTCCCTATCCTACTTCTGTTTCTGTGGCTACTGAAATTCATACAGCAATTAGGTATCATCTAGAAACAATCTGAGCAGATCACACACCCCCACTGCTATGCAAAGAAAAAAAACCCAACAAACCCTTTCTATAACACACATCTGAGCAGTCAATGTCATGTTATGAAATTATTCTGGTAAGCCACAGATGCCACAAAAATCAATTAAAACAAATGCTGAGTAAAGGGCTGTGTAATTTGCTTCAAAGCCTCTTTACAGAGGCAGAGTGGCATTACACTCTGGAGCCTGTCTTGAAGACAAGATACTTTGCACAAATGGCTGAAATCAAAGTACAATTTTATTGGTTTAATGAACGTAAAATGGTGGATTTGCAAAAGCCATTTCCTACAATACCTGCACGTCCACTCTCTTGGTAGTAGTTCTCCATGGATTTGCTCATAGAATGATGAATTACAAACCTCACATCAGGTTTATCAATTCCCATGCCAAAAGCAACAGTTGCCACTACAACCTGAAAAAAGATTAAGAAACCATCAAGGTATCAAACCACAATTTGTTTTAATAAAACATAAATCTATGAGAAATATCTACTTAACCTGGATCTGATTTGCTGCCCATCCTTTATGAACTTTGGTCTTACATTTAGCATCCATGTTTGCATGGTAAGTCCCTGCCTTGATTCCCAGTTTCTGCAAATTCATAGTAACTTGCTCAGAATCCTTCTGAGAAAAACAGTAAACAATTCCTGCACAAAAGTGAAAGATGCCTTATTGTAACGTCTTAAAAACACCCTCAACAAACAATCCCCGATACTTTCAAACAACTTTGAAAGTTTTATTAACTTAAAAATAAATAAAACCCAGGAAGCGATCTTTTTGCCTATTCATTTCTCCAGTATGGTAGCCATGAAGGAAACTTCAATTATCAGCTTTGACTTGTAGGCTAAAGAGAAAATATGGATACCAATCCACATAATCATGGAAGTATTCTATGTTCAAGGAGGACAATGGTTATTAATGCTTATGTAAAGGGGTGCTGTTCATTATGACATCTATGACATCTCACCTGAGGTTTTGTCATTAGTCAGCCTGGGCTAAGTCAAGGATTACACACAAAGCTACATGATTTGCGATCATCTTAGCACAGTTTGTCCTCAGGGAGCTGTTCGTCACAGCCGGAGTTCCAAAGCAGGGACATACCGCTGCCCTGGAAGATCGGGTTCTGTTGCCTTTGTAATACAGCTCTCCTCTTTATTTGCACTACGTAATTCATTGATTACATAAAGTCCAACTTTTACAGTTCTGCTTTCATCACAAAAGTGCAATTCACCCCACCACACACCCAGTCTGGGCACTGAATAACACATGAATCTTGTGACCAAATGTGAAAAAGAAGTGGTAAAGATAGGAAGTATCCTGACACATAGATACTAAATAACATAACACATGATTTAAGAACATAGAGGTAACCTTTTCTGAGCCTTGTTTTTACAATCTTAAAAATTGCTATTATTATGCAAACATTGCTCTCTATACATCAACATTATATTTTGATACTTCAGAATATGTATGTAAACTGTAAAGACATTTAAACACTAATGAACAAAAAGAGTAATTATTCAAAGTACAGGTCTTATTAAATTTCATTTCTTCTAATGCTGGATGTTTAAGGTACAGTGAAGGTAGTATTTCTCTACAAGTTTCAGAATTACTTGAAATTACTTGTCCATATAACACTGAAGATTATAAAAAAAAATATGGATTTTTTTTAACACTTTTTACCTGAGAGTCCTTTATATCTTCCATTAATCATCTTAACTATGTCCTCAATGAATTCTTCATTATTTGAAGGCTTATGCCGAACCTCAAAAATATAATATACACATGTCAGAGTTCTTCAAGTGGGCACACAGTCTGCCAATCCTATTTATTCTACTTCTTCCAGTACAATGAAAACAACTGTTCTGCATTTTAACCAAAACTACTATATTCTCTTTGTACACAGTCAGATTACATCTCAAAAGTCCATAGAAAAAAAAACAAAAACAAAACCACGTTTTCCCATGAAGAACAATAAAAGAACCTGTGGCCAAACTGAAAACACAATAAATCACAATGTTTTGCAATCACACGATGTGTTTTCCAACAGGTTGCAGTAGTCTAAGCTTGTTACCTACCTCTCCCCTGTACACACTCCTATTACTAAGTTTTGTTCACAAACAGAGCAGCCCAAGTATCTCTGCAGGTGACAGCAAGTTCAGCAAGATGAGGTGATGAAAGGACACCAATACTCAGTTTAAAAGCCATTTATTATTAAAATGTATAACTGAAAATTAAGACATACCTCATAGTAAAGATTGGGCCGGTTAAAAGAAGCAGTAAAGGTGATGCACTTCTGAACATGCAAAATTTTCTGAGCATCTTTTAAAACATGATTTGTAGCAGTTGCTGTCAATCCAATCAAGGGAGTATTGGGAAACTGTCTTTTCAAGATACCAAGAGACTTGTAGTCTAAGCAAGAAAACAAAAATGGGGAAAAAAAAGAATTTCATCCACCACAGATCCAAAGCTAAAAAAGATACCAATGTAATTCATGTAGATAGTATTCAATGGGGCAATACTGCAATAATGTTATTGATCAGTTTACTAAAGAACTAATTTATACATCCAAATGAAGTTATAACAAGGTTGCATTTATCAAAACAGATGCTTTATCTTCTAACTGAATTTTACAGAAGCTGTCACAATACAGAAGGCACAGCACATTGAAATAGAAGTCCTTATAAAGTTAGAAGAACGTAAGCAGCATTGCATTAACCAACATTCAGGTCATTTTGCAGGTCTGTTTTTACAAACAACTTTTCAGTAAACACAGCTCTGCTAGTAAACAATCAGTATGGAATTTGGATACAGAGACTAGACTGTACTAAGGAAAGATTTTAAAGTCTCACTGCTGACAATCACTTGTTGCCTTAGAAGAGAAATGCAGCCAGTGGTACAAATTCCACATTGCCTGTTTAACCAGCACGGCTCTTTGCTCAGACACCACTTTTTAACAAAACTGCAAAGTTTGACTTTACAGTCACTATTGCTTCAAATAAGCCTTCCTTTCAAAGGCAAAGAAACAGTAACCAGTAAGTCAGTCTTCTACAATTGACAAGACAGGAAACAGAGTGAAGTACACTTTTTTCCCCTTGCAAGTCAAGGGCATTTAGAAGTGATCAAAGCATAGCTTGTGAACTTACAGAATGCTCTAGCTCTGTCACCCAGAGCATTACAAAGCGGTGTACAGAATGACATATTTTTCACGTAGCATTAGATTAAAGCTGACTGTATTGCCCATATTAAAGATGGCAGCCAAAAACTTTCATTTTATTAAGCTACAATTAAAGTAAACTGAATTAGGAGTTTTTCAGAATAGTGACAGCAAAATCTACATTGAAATCACGCCCATTTGCATGAACTTAGCTCCTGGACAAGGATATAGTCATTCGTGAATTAAATTTAAAGTCCTTGAGCTAACACAGGTACTTGCATTACACTAAGTATTTACTGGCTTAAACCACGACACACATGAAGAAAGCACCTGGATTTATTTCAGGCCTCATTCAGTACTGATGCCTGAATATCACTGCAAACTGGATTTCTAATGGGCGTACCAGGCCTGAAGTCGTGGCCCCATTGACTACAGCAATGGACCTCATCTACAGCAATGCGAGCAAGACACCCTGCTTGATAAGCCTTCTCTAGCTTTGACATGAACATTTTGCTTTTTGCAATCTTCTCCGGGGTGACATAAACAAGCTTCAGTTGTGAATTTCTGTTTAGCATTTCGGTGTGAACCCACTTCACATGTTCCTGTTCAAAACAAAAGGAGAAATCAGAGGCTAACAAACTAGGACAACTTGCCAGCTATGTGCTGTGATACAGATAATGTGAATAAGTGTCTTGTGCTCTTGTTTTAATGACAAGAACACATTAAACCAACACCTTTAATGGAATAAATAGATTTCATGGGACTATTTAGAGGATGTTAAAGTCCCTTTGGCTGGTGCGTGTTGTAGATTTTTACTCAGTTTCTAGACTTAAAAGAAGATTGGAGTAGGTGACTTTTTTGTCCACTAGTAACAGGTTGAGCAGTGCAGGCTTTTAAGTATATTTTTTTATCTCACTTTAGGATAGGAAGCTGTTTGATTTAGAGATCAAAAAGCAACTTATTGCCCAGTCTGCTATTAGTCAATTACTTTTTACAGTGAAATATATTTTCCTGACTAGCAGAAGGCCATGATCATTAATTTGCACATGACACTGGCTTTGATAGTTTAGTGGCTTGATGCAATGTGCCAAACTTGGAGCCTGCTTTAAGGTAGAGCACTTTGAAAACTCAGTACTAAATACTACAGTTGCGTGCAAGAAATTATTTTACACTTGTAGTACCACAGGCGTGTTTGGTATATTATAGTTTACTATAAAAATACTAGTGATGTTCTACAAAGACTTATAGTAGTGGTAAATACGATGTAACAGTTTACCACCCCTTATGAATTGTTAATAACCTCTTAACAATCTTAGCACAGTTGGTAGAATGGCATTAGCTGATAAAACTGTGACATTCATTCAGTATTCACAAATAACATACACAGATGCACAATGCCGGCACATACACCACAAAGCCCATGAAGACATGGCAGTTAAACATACCTTACTGCTTGAGGCATTTAATAAAGCTGCAGAAATACCAAGCTGTTCCAAAACCATGAGCTGATCTTCCATAAGTGATATCAAAGGACATATCACAAGTGTGAAACCTGTAACAATCAGTCACTGTGTAAACTGAACAGTTTAGATGTCACAAATACCTCCTGTAATACTTTTTACTAATGCATCAGCCCTCTTCTGAAGGAACTGCCAAATGTGAGCTTAAAGCTTCATACACACAGTAGCAGATTCCCTTTACAGATAGCTGACAGGTGACTGTTAGGTCACATGAGGATAATTCTTATCAACTGCCCATGACATGCATCTTCTCTTAGAATCTGGACCACAAACATCTGAGCGGCAACAGAGTAAGAATTAATACACAAAACAAAGAAAGCTGGATTCTCATCTGTGTCACAAGGAGCTCATCCTATAACTAAGCAAGGCTAGATATTGATAAATTAGGTCTTTGTACGTAAAATTCCATGCAACTGGATGGGTTTTAAAAAACAACACCACCGTATGTCTAATGACCAGAACTGGATACTTATTTTTTAAAATGAATATACAGAGGCTCTCCCAAATAATCTGAAGCTAAGATTTTAGAGTGGAGAAGACAAATAACAGATATTCACACTTTGATTACCTGCAGTCAGTACATTGATGAGAAAGAGAGAAAGGAAGAGAGAAAGAGAGAAAGAGAGAGAGAGGAGAGAAAGAGA